GTGAGGAGAGCCTAACACCCCAGAGAATTCCACTGCCTGGTAACCCCTGACTGACTTTTAACTGAAGGGGCTGAGATGACCTCCTGTTCTCCCTCCTACCCGGAGGTGGCTGGAACTCTCTGGAAGAAGCTATTATTCTCCATGGATGTTTTGGCTCTTTTTGCTGATGGCTGTTATCAAAGGCTTAGCTTCCTGGTCAGAGCCATGGTTTTCCAGTATACCAAGAATGAGTGATTATTAACTACCTTGGAGCTAGGAATTAAGTTGTCCTTACATTCCAGCCTACCTGCCTATCTGGGAGGTCAGTAACCGCTTGAGTGTCACAGGAAACATTGCCTAGGAGGTTACCTAGAAAAGAGGATTTTAATAATCGATAGTTGTATTTAGTCTTCCATAAATGATTCATTTCCCACCCCTCCCCCTACAGCCTTTTGCTGTCTGCTTCTCAATTATATATGAATCAGCAATATCTCACTACACCTGATGTCCTTTATAAATTACTTCTGCCTTCTTAGCCAGTGTAACTACTGCCTGCTTAGCAGTATTAACACTAGTGTAAACTTTTTAGCCTAGAGTGTTCAGGCCATTATTTCCTTTAAAAGCAAAAGCAATGGAGGGGGTTGGTGCCTGGGTGGCTCAGTCAGTTGAGTGACTTTTTGCTCAGGTCGTGATCTCATGGTTCATGAGTTCTAGCCCTGCATCAGGGCTCTCTGCTCTCAGCATGGAGCCCGCTTCAGATTTCAAATAAAGATTTACCTCCCCTGCTTGGGCGATCTCTCTCTCTCAAAAATAAAAATAAACATTAAAGCAAAACAAACCGAAAAACCCCACAAAGCAATAGAGGCACCTGGGTAGCTCAGTCGACTCTTAATTTCAGCTCAGATCATGATCCCAGGGTTGTGGGATAAGCCCCGCATCAGGCTCTGCCCTGAGTGTGGAGCCTGCTTGAGGTATTCTCTCTCTCTCTCTTTCTCCCCCTCTCCTTCTCTCTCCCTCCCTTCCTCTGCCCTTAACCTCTGCTTGTGTGTGCCCTCTCTAAACAAAACAAAACAACCATGATGTAATAGAATAATAACCAAAACAACCAAGTCAAATCCTGTATTCGGTCTTTTTCTGTGGGTGTGCGGCCTGAGCTCTTGAATCCAGGAGCCTGGGGGCCCAGAAACGGCATCTGTGGGCAGGTGTGGATGGGAGCCTAGAAGTGGTGCAGGCATGACCATGCGAGGGCTCTCCTGTGCACAGAACACTGTCACGTGTGACTTCAATGTTGCAATAATGTTGAGAAGAGGGCTCAGAGGAGCAGACGGCCTTGCTCAAGGTCCCTGTTGTGGAAAGTCATGTGATGCCACCTGAAGCCTCTGGATGCCTGGAGGTGGCCATGTGTCCTTGAGGCAGGTGGAGGGACACTAAAAGGGGAGGGAGGAGGAGAGTCTCCTCAAACTTACAGGACTGGATAAAGCCCCCGGGCCTAACAGAAGAAGCAGCTGGCTTTGTATTTGATCTAATATTAATAAGTAATATACACTGAGTGCTCGCTGTGTGCCAGAAACTGTAAAGCACTTGCCATGTGGGGCATTTACTTCTCACGCTGTGCTGTGATCGGAGAGGACTCTTCTCGGCATTTTGGAGAGCAAAAGTAACTTGCCCGAGAACACGCAGCCAGGGCTAGTAATCAGCAGAGGCCAGGTGTTGCTAGGTCTTTCTGACCATTGTCCCTGTCGCACTTTCTCACGTGTGTACGGTCAGGGAGGAGGTGGGTAATGAATGAGGTGACACCGTCAAGTGCTAGCAAGGGACGTGATGCATGGAATCCTTCAAAGAAAATGTCACTTGTGACTATTCTCTGTTGATTGTCTTTGTCAGTCATTTTGCAAGTGGTTTCATTGCTTTTTCTCTGAGCCTGTGTCCTTTGTGACAAAGGCTCACTACTTGAGTATACTTGAGAGTACTTATTTGTCTGAATTTAGTAATAGGTTCTCTATGTCCTACAGTCACATAAGTGTCCTTGTAGTCAAGATTTTGAGCAGATGATAAGGCAGATAACTTGATAATCAAACGGCTGCGATTAAAACCAGGAGTTTACTGCTGAAATTCAGTTGTTTTTAAAAATTTGTGACTGAGGGGCGCCTGGGTGGCGCAGTCGGTTAAGCGTCCGACTTCAGCCAGGTCACGATCTCGCGGTCCGGGAGTTCGAGCCCCGCGTCAGGCTCTGGGCTGATGGCTCAGAGCCTGGAGCCTGTTTCCGATTCTGTGTCTCCCTCTCTCTCTGCTCCTCCCCCGTTCATGCTCTGTCTCTCTCTGTCCCAAAAATAAATAAACGTTGAAAAAAAAAAATTTGTGACTGAAGTATGTTTTTTCTAACAAATT